ACGAGTCATTGTAAAATCTTGTACCGCTAAGAGCAACCTGATGTCCAATTCCATAAAGTAATTATCCTCCCTGAGTTTATCTGTCATAGTATATTGAGAGCAGACAAGCCTAGAAAACTGTAGGCATAATCTTGTTCTTAAAAGGTCAATGGTAATTGTGTCATATCTGGAAAATGAAGGTCATAAAGCCTGCAACTCTAGTCCAGTGCAGTCATTGTACCACTTCTCACATTACATTTTGAATAACTTCAGACAAATGACAAAAAATGACATCAAAAAATTGCTAAAAGCAAGCTCTACACCAGAGCATACAAGGAATTGTTAATCTATCAACTGTCATGCCAACAGAACTAAAGTAATGGAGCAGCTTATATCGAGTTTTACCTTTCATTTAAGCATTGATTTACAAGCATTCACTCTATCATGTTTAAATGCTCCAGCAACTTTCTCATAGACTTACTGGTTACTACTGCTTTGGCTTACCGTCATTGCCCTTTTTCCCCCTCTTTGGGTTGTGATGGAGGTATTCTGTAGTATCCACTAGAAGTTAGACAAGAAACTCAAGCATTATTAGCAAAATGGATCCACTACACAATCTGAGGAATATTGCATGACTTCTAGTGTTGGAGTTCAGCATCTGATCCACCTTATCCCCATTATGTAAGGAATGAAAAGAACATTAAATTTAATGAAAACAAGAAGTTACGGTGTACAAGAGGACCAGAGATTTGCAACTTGTAGAAATGCATTCTGAGCAGAATCCTGACTTACATGTGTGAAGAGATTGTGTACCAGTAACTGGGCACACCGATTTTTTTTTTCAAAATATTTTTTGGAATAGCAAAGCATGCTCAGGGTGTTTCCTAATACGTTCAAGATTGGTAATTTCCTTCTTTCTTTCTTTTTGGAACTTTTTTCTGTATTTTATTTTTTGGTTATGTTTGGTTCATGTGTAGATATATGTGATACAGGGCTAAACTTGGTGGATTATTGTGTCATCCTCTGAAATATTTAAACCTCTTCGCCAATACTATATATGGTTCACTTCAAGGGATGTTTTATGATTACTATGTTTACACTGTTCCATTCTTGGAATGTGGACATCATGCTACGATTGAATTTATAATTATATAGAAGATGCATCTTTCCTGTTCAGAGTATAAAGCCTATTGTTGGATTGATGGCACTGAAACATTTAAAAAACAAAAATGGAGAACATAGAACTGGAGTGTCAATACATAGAGCTTTACAATTCTGCACCTGATGATTGGATTTATTGCAGTGCACGCAACAAAATAAGAAAGGATGTGGAAAGGAATAACTAGAACTGTTAACCATGATAAACTTTCTATGACTTTTTTTTTTTTTTGGTGTAAATAGCCATAATTCACTTTATTCCCTCGAAGGAATAAAGAGACCTATTAAAGGAAACTTGAATTCAAGATCAAAGTTGAATTTTTGTGACATAAAAACTCAACTTTTTTAGATACCGTTCAGGTGACTCTTGTCAACTCCACAACCAAATCTAGTTATATCTTTTACAGTTATGAACACTACTTAAAAGTCCCATATAACCTTATTCACGTGAAGAGATTATACTTATAATCGTACATTAGGGCACACCAACTTCTATTTGCATAATTAATGGAAAAGCAACAATGCACTAGATATACAAACTTGAACCCAAGTGTGGTTTAAATCAAGGCCTTCTATCATCTTAGAACAAAATTTTTATTTGTCTCATACATGATGTCGAAAATGCTATACATGATGTAATTTGAGTCTTATATTTTCTTTCTTAGACCAATCTTGACTCTTAACTAAGGATGTATGCGAGCCAAGCGCGAGCAGCTCGGTCAATGACTTGGTTTGAACTTGGTCAAATCGAGTTCGAGCCGAATCTCGAGTTGCTCGACACATTCGAGTCGAGTTCGAGTCAGAATTTTGCAGCTCTATAATTTAAATAATATATATATAATTTAGGTAATATATATGTATTATAATTATAAAATAACCATTATGGGTATAATTTATACTGAATTTACAAGCAAGGTGTCGAGTCAAAAAACTTGATTACTCGACTCGATAAGGTTTGACTAAAGGTCGAGCCTTATCAAGTCGAGTCTCGAGCTTTTAATGATTTTCTCGTGTCAAGCTCGAGTTTGAGATTTCCAGACTCGATCGAGATCGAGCCGAGATCTTGTATAGTTATTTATAGGCCAAGTCGAGCTAGAGTATAGCAATACTCGAGCTCGACTCGGCTCGATTACATACTTACTCTTAACCCTTCATGGATTGTTTCTGTAGCAACGATTCCTGCCCTAAATTCAATACACACTTCTATATTTCGACTGAAAGGAGAGGAGCGAAAAGAGCAAGGTGCCTGGGTCTCATCTAAAGTGGAAAATTTGATCCAGTTAAGAGCACGGGGTTTTGTTTCAATTCTGTGTTGAATTGAGGGTCCGTTTGTTTCGGGTGAAAATGTTTTCCAGGAAAATATTTTCCTAATTTCCCGTGTTTGGTTGCACAAAAGTTACTGAAAACATTTTCCTATGTAAAATATTTTCACTCATCTTATGGAAAACAACTTCCCTTCCAAACTTACTGAAGTTGTTTTCCGAAATGCATGCATCCCGCCTGTAGTATGTTTCAAACTTACTGAAAATATCTTGTAGTATGTTCTTTTTTTTTTAGTGTAAATAGGAGGACTCGAACCCAAAATCTCTTCCTTACACTCCCTCCCCCGTACCACCCAACCCAACCCAACCCTCTCCCTAGTATATTCAAAAAAAAAAAAAAAAAAACCACATCCTACTCATCCTATGCTAGTAATTAATTATGTATAATAGGGACATTCTTTTCTAGAGAAACTTTCAGCAGTGAGAGTGCAAGATATATGTCACAATAAGCATTGCATGTGATTGATATTTGACACTAAATAGCCAGCAATTTGTTTATTGCTTAAGGAGATATTTTTTATTCATATATACATTTCTCCAAGATTTTTTAAAGTTAAACAATGAGATAAATTTTCTTATTTTGCATGGAAAGAAGTATGTAGTTATAATGTGTAGAAAGTAAAGATAGAGATAAAAGTGAAAATATTTCAAAAGTTAAACAAACACCAGAAAAATGAAGTAAGAAAATATTTTCAATAAACTAACCAAACACCTGAAAATGATGAAAAGGAAATGATTTTTATGAAAAATTACTTCCAAAAAAAATATTTTTTCAAGGAAAACATTTTACTTCCAACCAAACAGCCTCTGAATGAAAGAGCTTGTCGTGGGGAATTTTGCATGTTTGGTTTTTGGACACTAGTGTTGAATAATTGGACACTTATGAAAGTGCAATCGGCTGACCCAAAATCTTTAGTCTCAATAGAATTGAGGTCCACTCTATTTTGAGGCCTCATGTTGATTGAGAAGCCAGCCCGGGAGAGCATTGGCAGCAAAAACTTGGAAGAAGCAATATGTTTTGTAACACATTACTTGTGAACCGTGAACTGTGAAGTGTTGGGGTGGATTGTGAACTGTGAAGCTTTGGGGAGGATATTTATTTTTGAGTGTTCTGCTTGTGAACTGTGAAGCGTTGGGGTGAGAATTATTTAAACTAGTGCTAGTTTTATTTTTGTTTAATAATTGGATTTAAACGCAAGTGCTTTCATCACGTTTGATACTGTGTCAAGTTTCGAAGACCCATAAGCTCTTTAAAATCCTTAAGTTTTCTTTTCATGCTATCATATTACAGAATAATTCCTTGTAGTTTTAATGCCAAAATATTGAAAGAAGGTACTGTATTAAATTTACTTGTTTTAAAAAGCAACCTCCTTAGTTAGTAGGTTATATAAAACATGACCAACACTTCAATTCATAAAATTAAAGTTTATCTGCAAATTATGCATATCATGTGTCTAGAGATAATTTATCTTATTGTATTCTCAACCAAAACAGTTGTTGAAATTATATGCTTAATTTCTATGACTTTCCAGTAATCTTGATAAATTTTTATTAAAAAAAAAAAGCCAAATTATATGCCTTCAACGAAGAATATGAAGGCCAATGTAGGAACAAAAACGCTATTATTTCCAATTCATTCATCAAACTATAGTAACAGCAAAATTTACTAATCAAAGCAGGTGACAGTTTGGATTTTGATTAGGTTCCGCGGGAATGCAAAAGCCTTAAAGAGTTGAATGTGATACTCCAATTTGTCCCACATCGAAAATTTGCCGTGACCATGTTTGGGATATGAGTTTAGATTCATTGGGCTAGGAGCAAAATCGGGCTAAAGGTTGTTGGGCTAATCCTCGGCTCAAGGATACTCTCTTGAAAGAGAATCGGCTCAAGTTAATCGCTTGAAGAGAACTAAGATTTGTCTCTCGTGTCCCAAGTTTCCGAAGAATTGTTCCTGATCAGGTTTCACATTCAACATCCCACAATCCCAATACCTGATCAGGTTTCACATTCATCCTTACCCAAACCAGATTTGGGAAAATTTTGTGAAAGGTCCATGGGGGTGAAAGCGACATTCAGGTTTGCACCTATTATATGCAAAGCAATTCATGGTTTGCAATTGCAAATGCAAAATTGCTTTGCATTTGCAATTGCAAACCATGAATATAATAGGTTTGCAATTGCATTTGCAATTGCAAAGCAAACCTGAATGTCGCTTTCACTCCATAAATTTTCCTGTCATGTAATGGAGTCATGTAATGGCTTTCAACGGAAAGTTCACTCCATAAATTTTCCTGTCATGTAATGGAGTCATGTAATGGCTTTCAACGGAAAGCGACATTCAGGTTTGCACCATGAATGTAATGGTGCAAACCTGTTACCTGAACCTCTCATGTTACGAAAATTTTTCCAACATGGTTACCTGAATGTCGCTTTCACCCATCCTTTCCCAAACCTGCATCCGGACCTGAATTCTCCATGGATCGTAAGTGCTTGTGCGACTATATAAACACAACACAACACAACACTGGCAGCCAACCCATTGAGAAGTTTTCTTCCGGAGATTTACCCGTCTCAGAAATTTTGGGCGAACTCAGGCTTTTGCAGCCATCAACTTCTTCTTCACCTTGATGGAGTTCGCTAAGGGCTTCCGGGTATGGAAATGGTGGGAGTCTAGAAAAAGGGCCGCCCAACTCCTCCCACCACCGTTGCCAACCATGCAAATCCAACAACTCCCACCACAGTTGCCAACCGTACAAGTCCAACTCCAACTCCAACCTAGTGCAGCATCTCAACTTGAGGAGCAGCCGTCCCGGCCTACCGTCCGGCCACCTAATAATAATGGCGATGATAAGAACCCCAACTTCGTCGACTATGTGATGAAGATGCAATGGGCGTTTCTAAGCATTGGAGTTTGTATTGCAGCCTTTAGCGCCGCCTTGCAAGCTCTCCATACTCCTGCACCTCTCCCTCCAACCTTTCACTGGTTTTGCATGCTTCTGGAGCTGGCCGTTCTTGCTTTGTTGGTCTCCGTTTACATCCGCCGCCGTTACGAGACGGCATCTCTTGTCATGGCGCATGTTGCAATTTTCTTGGGCGCCACTGCATTCATGCTGGCCATTGCAGTGACACTTCCGGCTCCGCTAATGGGTATATCCATCGCACTCTACATCGTTGCAATCCTCGCAGTCATCTTTGCTAATCGTTGAATCTCCTGCTCAGGTATTTGTTTATTAACTTTTTCTTTTTCTTTTTGGCACTTTTCAGCATATTTTGAATTCGTTTTTTTTAATATACATATCTACCTGGCTGAAACAGGGCTTGCCAGGCCGTACTACTGCGTTGTTCTCTGATTTGATGATGCCAAAATTCTCCTAAAAGTTAAGCTCATGCTTTTTCGCTTTGTCTTTTCATTTGTGTGTGTGTTTTTGGAAGGGTGTTATCCATGTATTTTACGAATCCGTGTAAACAGGGCAGATGTTGTTGTTTTTGCTGTTGTTGTTTTCGGAAATAAGCTCAAGGATGTATTATGATTACCATAGTCGAAGAGTGTGAACGCCATGCTATAATTGAATTTCTGGTTATATTATAAGCGGATCTTTTCCTGTTCTGAAGACTGTGAAGCCTATTATTTATTGGATTGATGGCACTGAATTATTTATTTCACAAAAAAGAAGAAAAAGAAGCGAGCAGAAAATTCGAATGTCAATATACGGAGATTTTAATTTCTGCACCTGATGATTGGTGTTTTTGCGCAGTGCATGAAGCAAAAGAAGAAAGGATGTGGATAAAAAATTAGGAATGACCAGAATTGTTAACCATGATTCGATTTTTTTTTTTTAAAAAAAAATTTCATGATTGACTTTATTCTCTTGAAGAAATAAAGGGATCCAAGGAAACTTGAACCCAAGATCGAAGTTGAAACCTGGAATGTTCCACAAATCTTGTGCCAAAAAAACTCCATCGTTTTAGTTAATCATGAAATTTTTTTCTTTCAGAGAATTTCCAGATTACGGGCCTGTTTGGACCTCAAATTTTTAAAAAATTTATATAATTTTAATTTTTTAATAATTTTTACTATAAATATTTTAAAAAATTTATCAAAATTTTTAACCTACGCAACTTAAAAATATCTCAAAAATTTTTTGAACAAAAAATCTAATACACAAAAGAATTTTAACCAACCCACCATCTCCACCACCTCTTCCGCGCCGGTCAACTCAAAAAATTTTAATTTTCTGACCCTCTCCCTCACCCCCTCTCCTCCCCTCCGCTCTTCCCCTCTCTCTCCCCCGTCATCCTCCCCCTCCCCCTTTGCGTTTGATTTCAGTAGGGGCATCGACGGCGGAGGTAGCAGATGACGCTAAGGGTTTCAGAACTCCAACGTCCCCCAGTCACAAAATCCCAGTGATCACACAATGCCCACCGGCTCCCAAGAAAACCACACAAAAATCAAACCCAGCATCCATAAAAAGAAAAGGTTCTCCAACAGCAACACGCCGAGCCCTTCATCTTGATCTGTCCTCAGAGGTTGTGTCAATGTTCCCTCCACTGATTCAAGATGATGATGTGGACGGCAAGATCAAGAAAGCTCGAAGGGATCATGATCATAATTCGGCCGAATAAACATTGATTATCTATTTTTCCATTGCGATCATCTTCCTCTGGCGTCGGAGTGCGAGGGGGAGGGGAGAGGAGAAGGAGAGAGGGAGAGGGAGGAGGGGAAGAGAAAGGGCCAGAAAATTTTCCCATGGCATGAGTCGGGTGACCAGATCCATGGCTGTGGGAAGGGGCAGGGTGGAGGGAAAGGGGGAGGAGAGTGGGGAGAGAAAAAGCAAAAGAAAAAAATCCATGGCTGCAAGTTCTCATGGCTGCTGACGGCGACGGGATGGGGGAGGAGAGGGAGAGAGGGAGAGGGAGAGGGAGAGGGAGAAGAGGGGGAGAGAAAAAGAGGGAAAAAAATTTCCATGGCTGCTGGTTTTTGCCGGTTAGAGGCAGAGGTGCCGGGGAGGGGAAAGAAAGAAAGAAAAGGAAAAAGAAAAAAGTTTTGTATCCTAAAAATTTTTCTAATGACTTCTACGGTAATCTATAGTAAAATTTTAGATACATGCCTCAAAAAACTCAACTTCCAAACGGGCCTTACATCGTTCTAGTTAATCAGAAGTTGGTGAGTTTTTTCTCCTTTAAAAAATTACTTTTGACAGATCGCTCATTTAAATTATTCATCAAACAATTTAAAGTTTCTTACGAAGTGATGACTGTTTTACATCCTTCAGGCGACTCTTGTCACCTCCATGAACCATATTTAGTCACTTTTACAGTTATAAACACTACTCAAGAGTCCCATATAACCTTATACATGTTGAAAGATTATAATCGTATACCAACTTCCATTTGCAATAATTAATGGTAGGGCAGGAATGCACTGGATGTACAAATCCGAACCCAGGTATAATTTAAATCTAGGCCTTCTATCATAGAGCTCCTGATGAAGTAATTAAACACAGGAAAGTACTGATATGCTAGCTTTTTTCCTTCTAATATCTCCTGCAAATTAGAGCTTCAAGATAATATATAATAGTTCAATAGCATAAAAGTGCCATTCATACCCTGTGATAACCGATGATGCAGTGCTGCCATAATGCTTGCTCAAGAGTACAAGTAAGAAAGCAAAATGGCTCCTCCTCACAGATAAAAGAATACTGATGCATTATCTGGTATCATGATTCATTACAAACATACAATGCAATGCCACCCCAAAATGTAACACGCTCATTACTTTTCTGTCGTGGTTTAACCAAGCCTATTTGACTGACATCAAGGTAAACTGTAGTGTCTTCCACCACTAAGAGTAACCTGATATCCAAATTGTGTTGTATTACATAGAGAACAGACAAGCCTACAAAATAGTTGATATGATGACTTCCTGAAAGAAAGCAGCTCGCTGTGTTCTCTCCTCATAATTTTGTTCTTGAACTGCATCTGCAAAAGATGGTCTGTTGCTGCAAGAAGAAAATTGATCAGAATTTTGTCACCCTATCTTGAAAGTCAAGGTCATGCACAATGGAACTCTAATCTTTCACCAGTTCACCAACGGAGAGAATATGGCAACTATTCTGTTATTCCTTCCTTTTATTACAAAATGCTGCTGATCATTTGGTAATTTTCAGATGAGTAAAATCTTTAAATTGCACATTCATTCTTGATTAACTTCAGACAGATTGGATTGAAGAAAACTTTGCAATGACATGACATGACATATTTGCTAAACAGAGGCTCTGCCACCAGAGCAAACAACAAAAACGCTACACTATTTTCAAATCAACTGGCATGCAGACATAGGAAAAGTAATGAAGCAGCTTCTATCGAGTATGATCGTTCGCATAGACATTAATTTGTCAAGCATCATTCACTGTTCTGCATTTCCAGTTCACTCTATCCTGTTTACATGCTCTGGCAACTTTCTCATAAACTCACTGCAGTGGATTGCCATTAAAATGCCTTCTATTTTCCAAATAGCCCTACTTTAGCTTACTATTTTCACTTCGATTTTTTTGTTTTTTGGGGGGGGAGAGGGGGGAGGCGGGGGGGTTTGTGGTGGAGGGATTGGAGAGCAGCGGTGAGACATGATAAACTACACAAAGAGGTAGGCTATAATACCAAGTGAAAGTCAGACAAGAAACTCGAGCATCACCAATAATATGAATTCACTTCTATCTAAGGAGAATCTTGTGAGATCTATTATTCATGTTAAGCTATCTGCTCCACCTTATTCCCACTACAAAAAGGAATGAAAGGACAAAAAGGATTAAATGAAAAAGATAGCTTATATCCAAGAGGAATAAAGATACAAGTAATAATAGTTAGAACTCACCTTATTCCCACTACAAAAGGAATGAAAGAACAAAAAGGATTAAATGAAATAGAAAACTGATATCCAAGAGGAATAAAGATACAAGTAATACTAGTTAGAACTCTTCTTCTTGGTAGTGCTCTTATTCGGCTTGCCATGCAAACAACTCTCCAGACACGTGATAACTGACATTGATATACTGAAAGGCAATAATTAGGTGGTGAATATTGTTCTGTAACTTAGAAAGTTTGTTTTCTGGATTTCCAAAAGAATACAAAGAATGTTTTGATCAGTTGTTGTCATTGCATTTTAAATCATCCGTAATTCTTTTATCTGCAATTTGGCTTCAAAATCAAGAAGACTGGTCAGCGTCAGAGTCATCTATAGATCTTCTCCTATTGAAATAAGGTACTTCTATGCTATATCTACACTTTGCTGTTCTGGCAAGCTGTTCCCGCTAAATAATAAAACATTTATATCCTCCTTTTCCTCCTCAGCAGAAAATTGACGTAGAATCCTGTAGAATTAGAGAGCATCTCAAAGTCTTAATTCCTATGATAGTGATGATCCTCAGTGTGACACTTGAAAACTTAGAATGCAATGGTTACAGGTTTATCATCTATCATGAAATTATACAGCTACTTTTTATCAAGATGAGTAACCAAATATTATCAATTACTAGAAAAGAAGTTTAGGAAGCAGACATTTTATGGCATTACATCTTAAGTAAAATACCAATGCTATTCATTTTCCAATCAAAGCAACCTAGATGATCTTAAGTTGGTGTTCTTTTCTCTTTAAATTATTGCCTTTGACAAGGTAGCCCATTCAAATGTTTTATGACTTTCTTATTTATTTATTTCCATGAAAGCCTTAACTATTTCACATCCTCTACGTGGCTCATTATAACTCCAAAAGCCAAAATTATATACTTTACTTAAATTACAGCTACAAACACCACTCAAAGAGCCAGATCATCTTATACAAGTGAAAAAATTATGTTCATATAATTGGGCACACCAAATTTTGCTTTTGAATATTTCTGGAAGAGCAAAGAATGTTCAGCTTGAAAATATTGAGCTTATCAACTTCACTTCCTGTATATTCTTCCATCCTTTACATCTTCTTAACACTTCAATAAACAATTTTTTTCAAGTAAATATGTCAAAGTAGTGTAATCCAATTTAGCAATTCGTATTTAGAACAACCTTTCCTGTTATACTGTGAACATGTCTGGGAAAAACTTAATTCAGGTCAAACCAAAGAAACTATAACAGATGGAGAGTATTTTGAGATTATGCATTGATGACCTTTATCTCTTCAGTTCATTGATCATTGTTTCTCCTCCAACATACAGGCATGGTCTTCAATGTACAGTTCTGCTAGCCATATCCTATCAGGCGTGTTATTCAGAAAGTGACTCACTACAAAGTGAAACTCTGACCTTGCCATGCCCAGTCCTAATAGATATTACCTTATTCTTGATTTTGCTCTAGATGTCTCATTATAGAACATTAAAAGGTAGCTTCTAAGTTCGCTTGGATCTTTTGGCCTCATAATGTTCAAAGGTTCAGGGGTCCTATGTGATCTATATGCACAACTAGTTAGAAAAATGAAACCACCATCTGATTCTAAGTTTTTTTCCCCTCAAAACAGGTGACATTTGACAACCTGTTAAA